CTTGCTTAGAAGAAGTCCAGAGAGAGTCAGCTGAGGGCTAGTAGGTCCTCTACAGTGTCAGGACCCAGGCTCCTGCTATCTTATTGCTCCTCCATCCTTAGCACTTGGTTTCCATCTCATGTTCCAAGGTGGCTGCTTGAGGTCCAGCCATCACGTTTACATTCTGGTCAGCAGGGTGGAGGAAAGAACAAAGAAGAACATGTTCTGCTTTTAAGAACATTTCCTGGAAGTTGCACATACCACTTCTGCTTATATCCTGTGAGCTAGAACTTATCTACACATGGCTACATCTAGCTGCAAGGGAGATTGGTAAGCAAATCTTTATTACAAATGGCCACATGTCCAGCCTAAAATTGTGGGATTCTGTTACTAAGGAAGAATGGACGATGGGGATGATTAATGGTCTCTACCATCCTTTCTTCCAACTAACCATTCAACTAACATTTAAGGATGAGCAACTGCCCTATTTAGTAAGGGAGATAGATATGCAAATAACTAACTGCAATACAATGTGATGTGGAGTATAAAAGAGGTTTTTTATTCAGAGCGCAGTGGGGGAACAGATGGAAATGATCAACAGCAATCATAATAATTAATAACTACAATGCCCTAGCTGGGTTCTCAGTGCTACATTCCCATGATTTTATTTGTCCAGCTTCCTTTCTTGTCAGCGAGAGCTACAATCCCTCTTGCCTCTCCGTCCGATAGCAAACGTCTACGCTGGGCCGACCAGGTGCTGTTCTAAGTTTCTTACATTTATTATCTCACAACAACCCTAAGAGCAGGCACTGTTGTCATTCACCTTATAGATGAGGAAACTGAAGCACAAGCCGCAGGGCTGGGTGTTGGAACCAGGAGGTCTGGCTCCGGAGTACATGTGCTTAATCACTCTGCTAGGCTGCCCCCCTAAAGCTGCTCATTTTCATTCCTTCCCCCCACCTCCCCGCCCCCAAATATCCAGCAGACAACCTCGCTGCGTATTTCATTGTAATGCTTGAGGCCATCTTGGGGGACGGCTCTCCACTCTTGGATCAACCCCTAACTTACTTGCAACTCTTCCCTCCCCTCCTCCACCGGTCCTGCCTCAGGGGTGAGGCATCTGTCTTCCTGATTAAAACCGTCTCTCTCCCTCAATCCTAGGGGGGCTGTAGAGTGTAATGGTTTAAGAACTGGCCTCCACAGCCATACTTACTAAGTTGATAAATGTCTGATCTTAGGAAGTCACTTAATCTCTCTAAGCCTCCGTTTTCTCATCTGTAAATAGGGGTGGTGTTAACACCCTTATCATGGGGCTATTTGTGAGGACCCAGCATGTTTATTCATGTACAGTGCTTAGCTCGTACTAAGTGCTCAGAGGGTATTAGTTATTATTTATCCCCCTGATTTCTGGTTCCTTGGACTACTGGCTCTCTCCTCTATCTTCAATTGATTTCTCTTTACAGGTTGTGTTAATTTCCTATTGCTGCTGTAATAAATGACCACAAATTTAAGGCATCCAATAGTACGTATTTATTATTTTGCATTTCTGGAAGTTGGAAGTCTGAACTGGGTTTCATTGGGCTAAAATCAAGGACTGATCCCTTCTGGAGGCCCAGGGAAGAACCCATTTTGTCACCTTTTGCAGTTTATAGAGACTGTGTTCCTTGGCTTGTAGCCCACTTCTGTCTTCAAAGCCAGCAACGGCAGGTTGTCCTCATATGGCATCATTCCAACTGTGATCCCATCGTCCCAACTTTTTCTAGACTCTGACTTTCCTCCTTCCCTCTTTCACTTATAAGGGCCTTTATGATTAAATTAGACACACCTGGATAATCCAGGCTCTTCTCATCTCAAGATCCTTAAAATAATCATATCTGCAAAGTCCCTTTTGCCATGAAAGGTATCATTCACAGGTTCCAGGGATTAGGACATGGACCTCTTTGGGCAGCCATTAGTCTGCTTACCCCCAGATTCTCCCTCCTTGGGATATGGCTTGTGAGAGCCATCCTAAACAAAACACCCCTCCCTTATTTTCCCCAGATTTATTGAGACATAATTGACAAATAATCATATTATCTCTCCCTTACAGGCACGCTGTCTTCTCTCTTCCTCCTTTCTCAGCAAGCTCTTTTCAAGAGTTGTCTTGCCTACTTTTCCCCACCTCCTGATATCCCCTGCTGTCTGCACCCCACTCCACCAAACCCTCTTGCCCTGATCACCAGTGGCTCCCATATTCCCAAATCAATGGACGGACACCTTTCATTCTTAATTGACTGCATTTTCCATGTTGGTCGCTCATTCCTTCTTGAGACCCATTTGTCCCCGGTCGGCCTTTAAGTGCCTTTGTTCTGGTTTTCTTCTTTGTCTTCTCTGGCTTAGGCACCTCGGGGGCTACACTGTCTCCAACCCGCCCCTGAAATGTCCATGTTCTCTGGTGCTTTGGATCTTTGTTCCATTGCTCTTTGCTTGCATGATCTTGTCTCATACCTCTGGTTGTAAATGCCACTTGCTCAAGGATGACCGATCCCTGCTTGTGCTGTGCAGATCTCTGGCCCCTGGCTGGGAATGCTGGTGAAGATTGTGCTTCTAGTAATCCCACCAACTCCTCAAATTGGTTGGTCTTCCTTGAAGTAGACCCAACGAGAGAGCTCCTTGAGGTACTACTTGAGAACCACAAAGCCTGGGACACTTATGCTTCTGTTCCAGACTCTGTGGCCTGTTCTATCAAGACAGGTGAAAGGCAGCAAACCCATTGGTGCCAAAGGACAGATCCATGTTTCGTGGCGTTAACAGGAACACAGCAGGGAAGGCACGTCTTTAATACTATGTTTATTGGGGCAAGCCCCACCTTTATGTCTGTGGTTTGCAATTGCTGGAGCTCTGAAGGAGCCAAAGGCTAACTGGAGCTCAGAGGCACAAAAATATTCAAAAGGAGCCAAAGTGCATCCTAACAGTTCAGTTAGATAAGACTCTCGCCAGAAACAGAACGATGTAACCAAACAGTGGGGCTCCCTCCAAATGCAAGAAGACCGCTGAGGGAGGTAAAGTACAGAGGATGGTCTTGGGGACAGTCTGGAGGGTCACAGAGGAAGAGGAGACTGGGACAGAGGATGGGCAGGGAGCGAGGAGAAGGAAGGCCATTTCAGGCAGGGGAATAGCATGGGCAAAGGCTTAGAGTCAGGGCCAGGATAATCTACTTGGGGAACAGGGAGAATGCAGGGGAGATGAGGTTGGCGAGGCTGCGTCCGAATATGTGCGAGCATTGGTAGATGCTAGCATAGGAAGCTTGAACTCTATCTGCGTGGCACTGGGAAGCTACGGAAGAGGTTTGAGCAGGGGAATGAACTGAGCAGAGGTCAACTTTAGGAAAACTTCTCCAGTCCTGGGTCGATTGGTGAGGGAGTGTTGGGCCCCAGATCTTAAAGTATGCAAGGTCCAATTTTAGAGAGAGGAGGAAACTTGGGAATTTCTGGTCCATTCCTATCATTTTATATAGCGTGTGTATATTTATATATAATCATATGTTTTATACACACACACACATTAGATGGCCTAGTTGGAGAGTGAGTGACTTCCCAAAGGCACATAGCAACAAGACCAGCATTAGTACTCAGGTCTGACTCCTATTCCAGTGCTCTTCTGTGCTGTACTGACTAGAGGCAGAGATGTCTGAAAGGGAGCTGATCCAACAGTCAGTCAAGGCAGGGGGTGATGCAAATCTTGACCAGGGCAAGACAGGGCAGACACCAAGGTTGAAGACCATGTGGGAGGCAATGTGATATATTCTCTCTCTCTCTCTCTCTCTCTCTCTCTCTCTCTGGGTGGGGGTTGGGACATAGGGCTTGTTGGAGACCGCACATGAGTGCATCTCTTTTTCCTGGGTCTTGCAGCATCCTTCTGGGCCTGGTTTCTATGGCAACAGGCTCCCAGCAGGCAGCCCGCCAGCTGGAGGGAAGCAGGCAAGCAAGGCAGGCAGGGAGAGAAGGCCTGGACAGCAGGAAGAAGGCTGAAGTTGTGGGGGTTGGGGGAACCTCCCCACGCCCCTGTCTCTTGACAGTGTAACAGTAGAGGTTGCTTAGGACACATGAGCCTTTCTTTTGTGGTCTTTGAATTTCCAGACCTCAAACTTCTGTTCACCACTCCACCCACCCCCACATCTCCTGACTCCCACTTCAAGTATTGTCTGACCCCAGCCTCATGCATCTCAGGGGCCACTGACTTCTTCATAGAACCCAAGGGGGAAAAAGAACAAGACCAATTGACGTTCTGTTTTGCATATGATTTGCATATTATGAACTCAAAGACAAGACATTTCAAGGCCTTATGTCGTTGCTGCCAACAACTTAATTCGACTCCACGGGCACCGCTGACTGTGTCTGGCCCGGCTCTGGGCTGAGCAGTGAGGTCCCTAGAGAAGCCCTCCCAGCTGCTTCCACCGCCCTTCCCCCAGCTGCTCCAGGGCAGTTCTTCCCGATGTTCCAGCAGCTGGTACCTTGGGAAGTACTTGGGCTGTGGAGCGAGCAGCAGCCCTAGGTCTGAATCCTGGCTCTGCTACTTTGTAGCTGGGGGTCCATGGGCCTCTCTGGGCCTTAATTTACTCATCTCTCTGCAGGGCCTGGGACATACCTGTACAGCTGGTGTAAATTAGCAAAGACATAGAATTTGTTAAAATGCTGAAACACTTCTGTATTCATTGGTAAAGAGCCACCACCCTGACCCCTCCCTGGCCCCTCTGAGACCCCGCCCCCAATCCCACTTCTGCAGGGTGATGCTCTAGGGCTTGAGCTGTGCCTGTTTTCATTGGCTTTTGCCAGCAGCTGTTCTGTACAGGTTAAGTTTTAAGTATCACCCTGTCCAGAGGCCAGTGCAACAGGTAGGCATATTATGTATCTACCTGTTGCAAGGACTAATATAGTTAAAGGTCGGGGATCACTTTGTAGGTTTCCTTTTAGCCTGGGCTGGGGCTGAAGGCTGGGATGATATTGGGCGAGGGCAGAGATGACAGCCGTCTCTGTCGCCAGGCGGGCGAGGTTCAAGCGCTCCAACAGCGTGACGGCCGGCGTGCAGGCAGACCTGGAGCTGGAGGGCCTGGCCGGCCTGGCCTCGGTGGCCACAGAAGACAAGGCCCTGCAGTTCGGACGCTCCTTCCAGAGGCACGCCTCTGAACCCCAGCCCGGCCCCCGGGCCCCCACCTACTCAGTCTTCCGCACGGTCCACACGCAAGGCCAGTGGGCCTACCGCGAGGGCTACCCACTGCCGTAC